TGGCTGAATCCCACCACTGCATTAATCTGATGCTGGTACAGATTTATTTGATGTAACCTGAATATATTTAATCTTATATCGAATTTGTATAACCTACACATGATACAATGGAGGGAGGAAACCCAGGTGGCCGGAACCTATCACCTCTGAGAGGCACAGCCAGGAGGTGAGAAGACCATAAAAATTCCACAGTGAGATGTGTCCTGGGAACTTCTGGAAAAGTTCGTTCTGAAAAGGGGGTGGTGGCAAATTAGGTGTGCCCTGGGAAACTGTGAAAGAGATCATTTCTACAAAAGGGGTGGGGGGGAATTAACATACTGGCTTTTGTTTCACTAAATATACATCGAGATAAGGGGAGGGGTAAAACTCCCTTATCTCTCCCTGTATGCCTGAGAGACCTCAGACGCTGCTTTGAACTCCTACATGAATTGTCTCATCTCAATAAAAGATTCCTTTTGATACGTTTGGTTTTCAGAAGTTCATTCTTGTTAATTGAATGGGAAAAAGTTCTGTAGTCTGACACCTGTTGTGATACTTGTGAAAGATTGTTCATAACCCTAATAGCTATCAGACCTCTTTTTATATCAGCGGCATCAACATTCATTAGAACGGAAGGAAATTGTAGTTTCTTTGTAAACCCTTCGGAGAAGATGAGACGGATGGTGTGTATAATAATAAAGTGAGCAAGGAATCCATGCAGAAGGTCTCCTTCTATTTCCCTGGGAAAGTTTTGCAAAGGAAAAGAAATGGATGTCCTGTGTTGGGGTCGGAAGGAAATTATCAGTCTGTTCCAGATTTCCATTTGAACAACCGGAACAACTTCAATTTGGGAGTTTAAAATTGAATCAATCTGCCAAATTGGGGATTATGTTGGCCATTGTTAGAGGCTCACCCCAAATTCTATGTATCCTGCTGAAAAATAAACCTAAAGAGCTCCGATGGCCCATTTTGGGGGCTCCCACAGGCTGAAAGAGAGCCGTGGGAGAGGATGGCCAGGTGACGTATTGCTACTTCAATCGCCTGGCCAGAAAACCTCAAAATCCCAGGAATCCCATTTTGGCTGTTTCTGCAGAGCCCCCAGTGGGGAAGGTGACCCGCAAGGTGGTGGATGAATGCCTGGAGATCCTTACCTGCCAGGCCTTTGGCTTCTACCCCAAGGAGATCCAGGCCACCTGGAAGAGGGACGGAGAGATCTGGGAACACGAGACCTTCCATAGGAACGTGGCCCCCAACTCAGACGGGACCTATTATGTCCAGCTCAGCATTGACATCAACCCCAAGGAGAGGGACCGTTTTCGGTGTCACCTGGAGCACGAGGGTTTGCAGGAGCCCCTGGACTTGGCTTTCAAGGAGGAAACAGGTGAGAGGCTGATGGGGTTGTGAAGTGTAGGAAAATTGTGTAGAAGTTACATCAATATTTGACAATGTGGGCGGAGTTTGCTGCTGCTTCATCTCATGTTTTCAGGTGGAGAACAGCAAATACGGTATAGCCATCTATTTAGCAATGGGAGAGAAGTGATTTCTGTCAGAAGAGTAGGAAATAGTAATAGGAATAATGTGAATATATGATATACGAGATGATGGGTGGAGACTCCTCCTTCTGCCCTTCAAGGCCATTCGCTCTGTCCTCTTCAGCCTTGGGGGGGAGGAGCTTCCTTCAGGTGGGGGCACTT